ATTTGCAAGCCGAATTAACCCAAGAGCAAACCTGAATCTTGACTAGCTGAATCAGAAAACCGTTCCAGTCAGGGAGTGCACAACCTCTTACCACGAAGGCTGAGCTAAAACTTGGGGACGCTGAGGAGGTGTCCCGTGGAGGAGGAGGAGCATCCCAGAGTTTTAAGCCCAGCCTTTCCAGAAGAGACTGAAGCACCTCCCCAATTCTGGATGCTCTGAACAGCTCAGGGGAGAAAGGGAGAAATTTCCTGACAGGGAGAGCAATCAACCCGTGGAACAGAAGTTGCCTTCAGAAGCTGTGGGAGCTTCATCCCTGGAGGCTTTCAAGAAGAGGCGAGACAGCTATCGGTTGGACTAGATGATCTACAAAGGTCCCTTCCAATTCTGTTAATCTGTTAAGGACTCCACAGAAAGGGGAGTGAATTAAGCTTACTCACCTCTGTTGGGCCTCCAGATCTTCTCCATGCCATGTCTCATCAGCACAATGCGGGACAACTCGGTGAAGGACTCGATCACATTGAAGTTGCACAACGGGCTGACTTCGAAGAAGGTCATGCAATTCTTCTCTGCGTAGGATCGGGCTTGCTCCGTGGGCACCTGCCGCTTGAAGGCTAGGTGAAGGCGGTTGCCAACCAAGATCCGGGGCACCCCGGGGGCATGCTTTAAATAGACACAGAATGACATTACGCACACTAGTATTCATGCGCCATCCAAGCTTCCATCTTAAGCATTCTTTACATTTGGCAATCTATTGTACCGATCAAGCAGTTCTGTGCACCTTTAATCAAACTTTCTAGTTTAATTAAACTTTGTAGTTTAATGAGAAGAAGGACTAGGGGAGACATGATAGCAGTGTTCCAGTATTTGAGGGACTGCCCCAAAGAAGAGGGAGTCAAGCTATTTAACAAAGCTCTTGAGGGCAGGACAAGAAGCAATGGGTGGAAACTAATCAAGGAGAGAAGCAACCCAAAACTAAGGAGAAATTTCCTGACTGGACTTCCTTAGTTTTATTTCTTGAAAACGTTTTGCTTCTCATCCAAGAAGCTTCTTCACTTCTGGAACCGAAAAAGCTTCTTGGAGGAGAAGCAAAATATTTTTCAATAAACAAACAAACAAATAAGAAAGTCCAGTCGCCTTTTAGAAAGCACCTTTGGGGCGATCATTCCCAACTGCAAAAAGATATGGATATAGTTAATAGCAATAGCACTTAGACTTATACACCGCTTCACAGAGCTTTCCAGCCCTCTCTAAGTGGTTTTACAGAGTCAGCCTATCGCCCCCAACCATCTGGGTCTTCATTTTACCTACCTCGGAAGGATGGTTGAGTCAACCTTGAGCAGGTGAGATTCGAACTGCCAAATTGCACTCAGCTGGCAGTCAGCAAAAGTAGCCTGCAGTACTGCACTCTAACCACTGCGCCACTGAGGCTCTTAATGGGGCAGGTATCCCCTGGTTTAGCTTTTCTTTCCTTTACTTCGCTCCCTGTTTCTTACTCCTCTTTTTAACATAAGGTTGCTGACCTCAGAATGGGGCATTGTGATTGGAACAAGGTAAGGTCACTTTTACTGCATTTAAGAGCATTCAAAACCCCAGCTCTGCCCCGCTTACCTCATCGATTTCCTTGATCCATCGGTCTATTCCATCAAAAGACCAGCGGTTGGTGATGTCGTACACCAAGAGGATGCCCTGTGGTGGATCAAAACGCTCTGTTTATTTATATTATTTATGGATCAGTTTTACAGGGCTGCCCATCTCATGGGAAGTGATTCATGGGTGGCCTACCCGACACCCTAAGCTGTGGGCTGTGGCCCACTAAATCGCTAAATTAATTTTAGGTTTGCTCTATCAAAAGGCATCTCCATGTCAAAATGTTTTTGCATTAAGGGCAGGCACGGAAGCTATCTCCCCTTTGGCTTCCATGTCGTGTCGCTGAGGCAGTTTCTTTGAGTGGCAAGAATAATTGTGCAATGCAGGAAAGCAAACTGCCAATGCAGAAAACTGACTTTTCAGTTTTTTTCTTATTCTCCAGAAGCATTTCATATGGCATATTTTGCACACAAGGAGAAAAATCAGATCTCTTGAGCTGAGAAATCTGATGCCTGGAGCCCCCGTGGGACCCACTCTGTCCCCTGGTTATAAGTCACAACTATTCTGTGAATCGGTTCCTGAGACTTATCCATACGGGTGCTAAACTTACTTGTTACTATGAGTGGGGAAAAAAAATTAATAAAACAAGAATGAATTAAAATATTGACAAGTACACATGACAAAATGAATCAGCCTGCTTTGATACTGAAAGTAATCTGAAAGTTCACACAATACACACACACACACACACATCTTATATATATCTTATATATATCTATATATATAAAAGCAAAATACCACTCACGCATCATCACAAAATCTTCAGAACCATAAAGCCTACAAACTTGAAATTTGGCACATATGTTCCTCTTGGCTTCTAGGTGCTCACTGAGAAAGGATTTTTCAAAATGACCACCAGAGCATTAGTATTTCCTATATTATTATTAACACGCTCTGATGCTAAGGAGTTCTACTCCCCCTCCCCACTTGAAAAGGAATCTCTTCCAAATGCAAAACACAAGCAGAGGAGTTTCAGTTTCACAGCACCAAGCAACTTTAGTACAGAACAGTTGAGCTAAGCCATGCCCGGGCTCCCTGCTGTCTCCTTCTTGCTCACACAGCAAATACCCTTTCAGTTTCCAAACAGCCCTCAACTCTCTCACACAGTGACAGGACGCTAGCCAGATGAAAACCGATGGATGCTGGTAGGCAGGGGCACATTTTTTTCTCTCCTCCTTATTTTCCTCCCCAAAAACTAAGCCCGACCACATAGTTTCATAAGCAAAGCATGGGTATCAAGCTAGTTTGGATAGAAACAGAGCCCGAAGAAAGAAAAGACCAGTTGTTAGAATTTCAGTTGAACAGGGAAGGAATCCTTTAAGGCAGTGATCCCTAACCTTTTGGGCACCAGGGACGGTGTGGTTTCACACGTTACCTAGATCCCGCCACATATACAGGATGAAACTTTGCTTGTGCAGCCTGGCTTTGAATGGGCCGTGGGCCAGGATCATATCCACGGCTCCAGAATTGGGGACCCCTGCTTTAAAGGAAAGCAGAGATGATTTATGGCAAGGCTCTCGTTCCAACTGGCTCTTGGTCTGTGCTGAGGAAAAAATAGCAGCCTCGTTTAATATTGCTAGTGGGACTCACCTGGGCTCCTCTGGAATAAGATCGAAAAATAGTACAGAACCTTCCTTGGCCAGACGTGTCCCTGGAAGAGAGAAGGGTGGGTTTAAGTCGGAAGCTCTGAAAGGCTTCCTCACCTCACCATAGGAAGTACGAGACAGCTGTACGTTTTGACTGTTCACTGGCTAACACTGGAACATATTATTAATTACTGAGCAATTATTTTCAGCTTGCTTAAAGTTGCCAAGCCATCTTTCTGCCCGGGGTCCTTGGGCCTCTCTGAGCTTGGCTGTATTCATGCCGACATTTCAATAGCCAAACTAGGTAACATCATCAGTGCTAGGAGGGAGTGGGGTTTGCTCTCTGTTTATACTCTAGTCCAGTGGTTCCCAACCTTTTTTTTCGCCCCGCACCCCTAAAGAAATTTCACTCGAACCTCGCACCCCCTGAAATTTAGACTTTAGGAACTACTGAACGCGTTAAATATATGGTAGGATTGAATCTTTTCAGCTATGTATGTGACGGCCACTAAATAACGATACTTAACTCTAAAATGAAAACAAAGATAATCCATTGCAAAAGAAAATAAAAATGCCAACATATAGCCAATATCCTATTATTTACCTGGACTTTTCTTGCACCCCCTAGAATATCGTCTCGCACCCCCAGGTTGGGAACCCCTGCTCTAGTCAGTGGTGGGATTCCAATTTTTTTACTACTGGCTCTGTGGGTGTGGCTTGGTGGGCGTGGTAGAGATACTGCAAAATCCCCCCTTCCCTCCCCACCCCACTAACCTGCTTTCCAGCTCCATTCTCCTGGGCAGGGCAACCAAAGAAGACCCAGCCAATCAGCCGGGACTCAGGAGGTGGAGAATAGATGGGGCTGGGACCAGTCAGAGGTAGGATTTTCCGGTTCTCTGAACTACTCAAAATTTCCGCTTCCGGTTCTCCAGAACTGATCAGAACTGGCTGAATACCATCTCTACTTCTAGTGTCTTCCCTGTCAGTGTTGCTGAAAGTGGCCTTGGGGCAGATTCCGCTGCCCCAATGGCAGTTGGTTAGGCTGTTAGCTTGATTTTACTCCTATTGGGGCAGTAGAACCTCCCAAACCATCCCCACCAACGCTGACCTGGCAAGCCACTAGAATGTAAACCCGAGAGCAAACCCCGGTCCCTTCTAGCACTGATGATGTTACCCGGTTGGGTAATTAAATGTCTGCAAGAAAACTACCCAGCACAGAGAGCACCATCATTTCAAGCCTGAATTGCAAAAATTCTCCTTTTTGTCGCCTTCTGGGGTAGAAGTATGAGGAGAAGGGGGGATAAGAAAGGACGAGCGTGTAAAAACAACTTGGGCTTGACTCCCTTGTGTTTTTGTTTCGGACGCTGTCGTTTATGCAAGGATCGTACACTGAATTAAAAAGCTGTTTCTTTGAAAATATTTTACAATGCATGAATATGTGTTTGTACTTTCTAGTCAGTCAGTCAGTCAGTCAGTCAGTCTGTCTGTCTGTCTATCTTGACATGAACAAATAGAAAAACTGTCAGCCCTTACGAGATTGTAGGTTTCTACTAGCAACCTCAGGACAGCTTTGGCGATGATACTGCCTTCCTGCAAGATTCCCCATCCTCAGATCAAATCACCCATGGTTGGTGGGTTGTTGTTGTTGTTGTTGTTTTGTTCCAGAAATATGCATATTCACATATATATGAGAGATACCCAAGCATGGAGAATGTGTGTGTGTGTGTGTGTGTGTGTGTGTGTGTGTGTGTGTGTGTGT